AGTTTGAGGTTGCTGTGAGCTGTGATGCCAGAGCACTCAACCCCAGGGTGACTGAGTGAGACTCTGTCTCAAAAAAAAAAAAAGATACCATCAAGAAAGTGAAAATATAATGCACAGAATTAGAGAAAGTATTTTCAGACCACATATCTTATAAGGGATGTATATCTACACTATCTAAGAGTTCCAACAACTCAATTTACAAATGATCAAAGGATCTGAACAGGACACAAATATCTGATAAGCACACGGAAATATACTCGACACCTTCAGCTGGAGGTGGGTGCAGCTGTGACACTGTCACCTGGTGCGTGGGTGCACAGAACGAGTGGTCTCCATACAGTGGACGTCACTCACCCACAAAGAAAGGGAGTCTGAGACCGGCCACTGCCCAGGTAAGCAGAGCCAAACATGGGCCACAAGTTGCACATGGTCCCACTAGCATGAATGTCCAGAGCACAGTTCTGGACAGGAAGCAGACTGGCAGCCACTCAGGTCGGATGGGGTCAGGAGCATTGCAAGAGGACACAAGTTTCCTGTTGATGTGATAAAATATTCCAACATCTGCCCTGGTGATAGTGGCATAATCTGGGAAAACACTAAAAACCACTGAATCATTCATTTAAAATGAGTTCTACGATATGTGGAGAAGGGAGGGAGGGAACAAAACTGGTCTTCGAGTACCAGCTGAGAGCCACACAGCCCCTCCACCTGGCACATCATTGCTGGACACTGAGCTTCACACCCAACTCCATCGGGGAAATCACAGGAAAAGCTGAGCAGGAGTCCTCCAATCCTATAGCAGGAACGCTCCTGCCAGCCTAGGCAGGCCACAGACCCAGAGAGCCTATGTAGGGGCTCCAGCTCCAAAGTGGGCACAGCCTCAACCCCAGCACAGTCTTCTAGGCACAGCCCCGTTCCCAGCACCTGGGGTTCCCCCAAGAGCAGCCCTGTACCCAACATGGTCTCCCAGGTGCGGCCCCGACCCTAGCATGGAGTCCCAGGTGTGGCCCTGTCCCCAGCACAGTATCTCAGGTATGGCCCTGTCCCCAGCACAGTATCCCAGGTACAGCCCTGTCTCCCCAGCACAGTCTCCCAGGTGCAGCCCCATCTCCCAGGCTCTGGGGTGCGTCAGGCCTGCACCCACCATGGTCAGCTATGGCCCTGCTCTCTGGAGCCCACAATTGCCTCTGGGTACTCTCTGCAACCTGTTGTGTTGTCTCCAATATTCAGGGCAAGTGCTGTGTTCCCACCTGCCAGAATGCTAGTTTCTCTGCCCCAACCAGCCTGCCCTCATTCGGTGGGGCCAGGGTCTGTGCGGCAGTAAGCCCTGCAGCTGAGTTATCAGACTGGGGACCGTGTACAGGCTGCTTGAGAGCATGATGACCAGTGAGAGCACAGCCAGCATGGGGCAGAGTGGAGACACCAGCCCAGCTGAGGCCAGCGCCTCAACCCTGCTCCTAAAGTTCAGCCTGGCTGCTGTGGCCAGCTGACAAACTTATTGTCATTTATTTTTACAGCCATGGTCTCCCAAAGTCCCCCAAACATGCAACAACAGAACATACTCCCGACTGAAGCCAGGCATGGCTTGTCCGGCACCCATGGACATCCCTTCAGGCAGAGTCCGGGTGCCCCTCTGGGCTTTACCACCTCAGCCCTGGCTCCCTCCTGGTTTTCCATTTTTTTTTTCCTCTTTCTTCCATCTGAGCCCAAACATTAAGTTGACTTGGGGGGAAGAGAAGATCCCAGGCTATCCTTCAGGAGGAGGCACCCATTTGGCCACCCTCACAGCCACCTGCTTCCCAGGCTCCCTACACCTCCCCTGCAGGCCTGGCCCCCCCCATCAAAGCAGGACCTAGTGTGGACACACCACTGTGCCTTTCCAGGGAGCCTAGCTCTAGCTCTCAGGGTGGCAGGTGCCTGTCATGAGAGGGGAAGATTTACAGGGACCAGCTATAGCTGCAGTGACTTCTACTGAGAGATTAACACTCCCCTTTCCCCCACTTCTGGAAGAAACCACATATTTTCTTACCATTTGCCTTCGGTTCTCCACCAGGTTGATGCCAATAATTCCTAAGAAAGCTCCGAATCCCAACTGAGACAAAGGAAAAATGAGGGAGAAAGGGCAGTTAGCGCCCACTGCTGGTGCCAACCAATGTCTGGTGGGGCGGAGCAGAAGTTTCTCTGTCCGAGCTCCTCCTCTAAGGACCTGTCTTCCTGGGACCCAGAGAAGAGCCACGGTCACCAGGGATACCCGCCAACACCCACAGCCTGCCCAACTGGGGTGCCCAGCTCTTAGCTCGGGAGGGGAGATATGAGGGAGACTTGGGAATGGGCACCTGGGGCTGGTCCCTAGGGCAGCACTGGCCACCAGGGCTTCTGTGCCCCCTGTCCCAGGGATGCTGTATGTTGGGGGTGTACATGAGGGGCCATTGGTGGGCTGGGGACCTGTGGCGTCAGGGCCAACGTAGCCTTCTGGAGCCCTGAGTGCAGCCTTTTGACTGAATCCAAGTTTCACAGGACAAATCCTATGATTTGAACAGACAGCCTCTATGCTTAATGTCTTTGGTGACACACACCCCTAAGTGGTTTTTGCCAATGATTTGATGCACTGCTTTAAAATACCACAGTTCAACTCAGCAGTTCAAAAGTATCAAAATTCAACTCCAACAGAAATGTATTAAAATACATCTATGTTTTACTAAGTTTTATTTTGGGGGGATTTGAAAAATATCTTTTCCCAAAATGTTGGGTTTTTGTGTTCTAGGCCACTTCTTCCTGAGATTAACTCTTTCCTTTGTCCCAGAATCTAGACCCAGAATCTCCACAGATATGACTTCAAAACACTTTTTTAAAGTTACTTTTGTACATTAGCAAAGCTATCTGGGCTAACCCTAATTATCATGTCATACAAACAGTTTCTTTACTGACCTTTACTCAAGCACTAACCATTCATGTTCAAATGAAATTTTAAGGTGAGAAATCTTAAATGCATGAAACTTGAGAACAAATAGAAAAGCTACCCCTTGAGGTAGATCTAGACAGTTTCCAAACAATTTGGAATGACAACCTCCAGCCCTCAGAACTCCAGCTCCCCTTCCCAGATGCAGAAAGCAGGTCTGACCAGACACTGGAGTCTGCTATTTTACCAATTACGCTTTTTCTGCACAGATACTGTTTATGTTTAAATAGTAAACATAAATTATACACAAGTAGATAACGTATATTTATAAAGCACAAAATAAAGGAAAGCATAAAGATGAATTAAGTAACATTTATAAAATATTTCTAAATTCTGAATGCCAAAAACCTTTCATCTTTGTTAAAATTGTTTTCAGTATTATAACTAATCTTGCTAATACTTTCAGTGCAAGTAATGGCATTAAATAAGCTTCACTTTTAAAAACAATCTTGATTTAGCACTTTGGGAAACAGAGATTCAGGTTCTGGTGCCTCTGATGGGCGTTGGAACTGATTGAAGGTCATTTCTACAGAGGCTCGCCGTGCAAAATGTAGGTACTTGGGGCAAATTTTATTGCTAACAACAGTGGATGTAAATTCATAGTTCAAAGACTCTTGATAATTTTGAATTTAGTTACTAATTCTTACCAGGTCTGGTTAGATGCTATCAATTTACCATACAGTGTTACTGTTCGAATGCTGCTGTGAGGAGGAGGGCTTAGTGCCACCGTCTCCTTGTCCCTAGACTGTTACAGCCCCACACAGTCTCCATCTGTGGCTTCTTGGAGGGGACTAGTAAAGTTACTTGTTGACTCTCTGTGGGTTACTCTGGGTGGTGTGGCCTCGCGGAACTAACATCTCAGGGTCAGCAGCGCTGTGTACCCGGCAGGGAGAGGGGTGTCTGGCCTGCTCCAGCCTCCAGTGACCTCCACAGTCCTTGGCTCTCCACCCCACTCCATCCGCCTCCCGACTGTGGGGAACATGTGCCATGCCTGGTTTTAAGGTGAGTGGATCTGCACTTGAGCTCCCCTTCCCTGTATAACAATCAATTCACAGTTTCTGGAGATCAGGACATAACCACAAATACTTACAGCCCCAATTTCACAAGCCCACAGGATGCCACGCCCAGCCATGCCCCCCACCCCTGAACTCACAATGATGCCTGGGTAGTAGCCACCCACTGTCACATTCTCCGTCCTGGTGGTGGCAGCCAGGCCGACGATCAGGATGAAGATGGACACTGCCAGCAGAGACCCCACAAACCAGAGGGAAGTCTTCTTTCTTCCTGCGAATACTTCTGGGAGGAGGACAAATGAGAGGCTCTTAATGAGACCCTCATCCTCAGAGAGGTCATCTGCACAGTTCTAGGACACCCCACCCAGGAAAACCTCCCAGACCAGCCCTTTACCGCACTGCCTCCTTGCCCCATTTCTCATCGTGGGGACCTGAGGGACACTTCCTGCCACCCTTCACCCACTTAGGGGAGGCTACCAGCACTGTGACGTCATTTCCATCTCCTGATCAGCAGGTCTATACCTGCCCAGCCCACCCTGACCTTGAACCCCCGAGGCTCAGGTTTTCCTTCAAGGGGTCCCTCCTCCACTGCCTATGCCTGTGTTCTGGATATGTAAGAACCAGTAGCCCTTAGGGCCACCTAATCATAACACAGAAGGCTAAGTCCTGGGGCAGGGAGGATACTTGGCCTAAACAACTTGTCTCCACCCATGCCAGGCCATCTACCTTGAACTGATTCCCAGGTCCAACCAGGGGTCCAGAATGAGTCAGTGGTTGACCAGGATGAGCAGCATTGGGACTGTGTTACTCCACTCATGGCATCACCAGCCATGTGAGTATCCAGTCCAGCCCATTAGTGGACAGTGTGGAAAATGAGTCCAAGGCCTTGGGAAGTGAAGCCTCATTCCCCTTCAACCTGCACCAGAAGTGAGTTTCCCTGGTTTACTGTCTGGCCCACCAGCCTGAGGAGGAGGGCCAAGCGGCCACACCTTGATGGCACTATGCCTGAACCCCAGCTGCCCTATGTTCTCCGCACATGGCCTTGCTGTTCCTTAGGACAGTTAGGTTGGTGTTTTGAAGGTGACAGTTTTCTGTCCTCCCACTCACTCCTACCCTCAGTGTTTCCCCACTGCCCATGTCCGGCCACCTAGGCTCTCCTAGTCTCTCAGCTCCAGGCATCACTGCCAGCAAGTCTCTCTTCTGCCTGGGCTGGGCCTGGTCCTGTCACTCACCACCTGCTGGATATCTGTCTTGTTCCCACGGCAGCGCTCGTGCCCCCGACTGTGCTGCAGGCAGTATTGCTCAGTAAGAGCCATGGTGTGGGTGGCTTACCTCTGACACCAGCACAGTTTGCATATTTGTGTGTGTAAGCCCCATAAGGGGCTTTACCCCTGAAGCCCCCCTGGCAGCACCACCCCAGCCATCCCCTCAGCACCTGCTAAGTGCCCGGCCTCCAGCCATCAGCAGGAGGAGTACCTGGTCCTTACAGAGGGCACTCCGCCCTCTGCCTGGCTCATGCTTCTTGGAACACTGGCCTCAGCCCTGTGCCTTGAGCACCATGTGTCTGCCGTGCACTGAGCCACCTCCACTCTTAGGACCTAGCTCAGCATCCAGTGTGTGAATAAGGGTACAGCAATGCAAAGTTCAGAGACCAGTCAGCCCCACCTGCCCTGCACTCACAAAACCCCACGTGACTACCTGTGGGAATGTGCCAGCCTGCAAGATTGAGCTCTGGACAGTAACTGCTAAGTGGAGGATGTTGTTTAGGACCTATAGAAAGTACTTGCAGACGCCTGTCCCCCATCATCCTTCCTGCTACAGGGGACATGAATGTAAAGGCAGAGCCCCGGCAGCCATCCTGGGTCACAAGGTAACCTTGTAAAAGGGAGCCACACAGTAAGAAAGGCAGTCTGAACTGTCACCCCCACCTGGTTGTAGCATCTGTGCATTTGGATGGCCTGGTATTTGCAGCTAGTCCTAATTCTAATTGTCACAGAACCACGGAAGCAAATCAGAAAGGAACATTTATGTTGCCTGAAGCAAGCACCTTCCCAGGGAGTGCAGGTGACCACTTGCTCTCAGTGATTTCTCTGCCTGATCATTACAACCAGGCAAGGCAGAGGCTGCAGAGGCCTTGGGCTCATTTTCCATATTGCCCACTGATGGGCTGGGCTGGACACTCACATGGCTGGTGACACCATGAGTGGAGTGACACAGACTCTCAACACAGAGTCCCTGGGTGGTTCCGTTCTGTTTCTTGGAAGCTAAATCAACTTGATCCCTGTGTGACTCTGAACAAAACAGGGGTTAAAAAAAACCAAACATGTTGATGCCTTCCTACCTTAAAATTTCAAAACTCAACACTATGTGCACACAAGTGTGTACAAGTGTGTGCACATGTTAATGGGAAGCGGTGTAGCTGCCCATCACATGTAGACAGTCTTCACAGCCTAGAAGCCAGCATTTCCACAATGCACCAGCAAAGCTGAGGCAATTCAAGGTCACAGCACCCCAGGAAGGGACAGCTTGGTGCTCAGAAATGCATCTCACAAAACTATAAATCAACGTGCAGATTCAGAGCCACCTTGTTAGTCTGAGACCCAATTTCATTCCGCTGACACAGCAAGGGCATACCTCCCAGGAGGACACTACACCCATGGGCTGAGCTGATTCCAGGCCAGGTCCTAGCAGACTCAGCATGTTCCTTGGCACAGCACCCACCTTCCTCCCCACTCTGAGAAGACATGTTTCTCTTGAGAATCTTCCCCTAAACCACCCATTACGCCTGACTCCTTGTGGGGTCACTGGAGATGAACCGGGATCTGGCCAGACCCATGGGGCTAACGGCTTTGGTCAGCGCTGACCCAATCAGTCACAATTTTCCAACTCACTAATCACTAAAAAGTCAGATGAATCTCCCTGGAGATCACCTGAATTGTCCTATGAACTTTCATAACAACACTGCATTTTACTGCTCTTTCCTGAGCGTGTACCCAAATCTACCCCCAAATCCTGCTACATAATAAAAATCAAAAGATATGAGAAACCTCTTTTTGTCAGAATTTCTATCACAAGGTTTCAAGATTAATATAAGGTCTAGAAAGACAGCCATATAATTTATATGGGACACTAGGAAGAAGTAGTTCTAAGGACACAAACTGTCACATTTGCTCCAGATACAGCAGAAGAATAAAAAAGAATCCCAGCCTCAAATACTTCTTATAAATACATTATACAACATAAAAAGACAAAAAGTATACCTAAGGAAAGAAGGTAAGTTATCTTTGTAAATGCCATAAGATACATGCACGTTTAGATCAGGCTTTGGAGAGAAAGGTGTGAGATAACTAAAATTATTGGATCATCTCCTTGGTTTTCCTCCCCCATTAGTAAAAATGTTGTTACTATGAGCATTGTTACCACTGAAGTGTTCCTACGACAATGCCCTGACTGCTAAACTCACCATGGAGGCAGCTTACAGACTGGTGTGGTCTAGGGCACCCCCTCAGGCCTGTCAGCCCCTCCAGCCCAGGCGGGAGAACTCCTCCGGAGGCAGGAGCCCAACACTCATCTCAAACACAGTGTCCTTTGGTTTCCTGATTTGTAAAACGGAAATAATGGAAACTCCTGCTTCACCCACCCCAGGCTGTTAGGAGGGTCCAGTGAGATGCCCTACCTGAAAGCTCTGGTCTGCAGTGGCATGCACGCAAGGATTTATTCATCATCAAGATGCCACAGCAGTTGTTCTCAGTCAGTGCTTCTTCAGTGGGGAGCCAAGCGGAGTTTCCAGCAGCTGCATCTCAGCGTTCTTGCTCCCAGTTTTCTGAACTCTAGTCTGTCCCCTGGCACATCCTATTTAGACTAGCTCAGACTACCACCTGTTCACTCCCCCAGCCCCCCGTTCTCCCTCCCCAGCCTTAGGAGGAGGAGCTGGACCACAGGAGCCTCAGGGCCCACCTGGGCTCACCTGGAAGGAGCTCAAAGCTGCTAGTAAGCACTGCTAGAAAGGGTTGCATCCTACACATCCCTCCATCAGGGCCAGGGCCTCCCAAAGGAGAATGAGGTCATTGAATCACCCCAGTAGTGTTAGCCAGGTAATAATCCTAGCTAAAACAGCCCACTACAGGACTGTGGACCCTTAGCCGTCAATCTCCCTTCCACCAGGAGTTTACAGATAACTGGTGCCCACAGTGAACATGGCATGTCGCACTGATGTGTAGCACATTCTCATAAAAGACCAAGTGCTAGGGTTATGTTTTAAGGTTGAAAGCTCCTTGTCAGTAGATAATATTAAGTCAAATGCTAATTAAGTCATCAAGTCACTCTAATACAATAACAATAACTAGTTAAGAGTAATAAATAGTTATTATATGTTAATAAAGCAATTCGCTTCCTGGAGGCTGAAAATATGTATAAACAAATCTGACCACAGAACGTTTTGCTTTAGAGGATGTTGGGTATGAAATGGTTTCTTGGCTCGGCACCTATAGCTCAACCGGCTAAGGCGCCAGCCACGTACACCTAAGGTGGA